CTTTAAGCAATAAAACAAAATTTAAAAAAACATATTCACAAATGATTCTAAAATACCAAATTTAGTTAACCTCAGGGACCTCTAAGATAGCAATAGTTTAAATAGGAATCTACAACTCCCCTCCCCTGAAATTCAGTTTATAAGAAGGATAGCTAAGTTAGTGTAGTAATAAGCATATAAAATTTTCTATTTTTAATAATTTGTTGTATAAGCCCAATTAGCTTAGAATTTATTCACCCCCCTCAAAGCTGGCAGAAAATCCATAATAAACAAATCAAATATATAACCCATGCATAAATGCATAAAGAGGCAAAAAGAGTAAGCCCTTAGTTCATATTATAACCTAATGTACCTGAGAAAAATGTGCCTCATCTCCCTCTGTTGCTGTTGGGGACGGAGTCCTTGCAGTATCTTGAGAAAAGAGATTTTCTGAGACTTGCATGAGAGGATGTGATATGGTAGAAAGCTTTATTTCTGTGGAATTATATCCCTGGGTTTCCACGGTCTTCTTTCCCTTAATCTAATTCGCAAGAATTTTTGAAAGTGATGAAAAGCTAGGACCTATAATCAAGATTATTCTATCCAGCAAAGCTATCATTTAGAATCAAAAGAGAGATAAAGAACTCTTTCCAGAAAAGAAAAAAAAAAAGAGTGGACTTTTCATCATCGCCAAACCATCATTGTATGAAATGCTTCTTTAAGAAAATAATATCAAAATTATGAATAATAAAATGGCAATAAATACATATCTAAAAAAAAAGAAGAAAACTTTCTTTCTGTGGAATTATATCCCTGGGTTTCCATGGTCTCCTTTCCCTTAGTCTAGTCATAGAAGAAGTGTAGCTGGGGTTTCAGCAGAGCTAAAATCAGAGCTGGTGTCCAGAGTTTCTGTTCCGTGTTGGAGCAGCGTCCAGTCCAGCATCAGGCTAGTTGCAGTCCATTAGTCCATTGTGTGTGTGGGTCCCCATGGGAGAATGCCAGGGAGCCAAGAGAGCAAGCCCTGAGCAACAAGAATCCCAAGGGCTCCAAAAGCACAAGAGAGCAAACATTGTTTAGGGCAGTGGTTCTCAACCTTCCTAATGCCGCGACCCTTTAATACAGTTCCTCATGTTGTGGTGACCCCAACCATAAAATTATTTTCGTTGCTACTTCATAACTGTAATTTTGCTACTGTTATGAATTGAATGTAAATATCTGATATGCAGGATGTATTTTCATTGTTACAAACTGAACATAATTAAAGCATAGTGATTAATCACAAAACCCCCCCAAAAAACAACCAATACAATAGCCATCCAGTATGAATGAATAAAAAATATACCTATTTATTTTTTTGTCAGATCTGCAAAATACATTTTTCGGTTTGCCACAGAATTTTCGTAATTATTGACGTGAAAAAGGTTGGAAATTGTTGCTATAGGGCAGTGGTTCTCAACCTGTGGGTCGCGAACAATGAAAATACAGCCTGCATATGAGATATTTACATTACGATTCATAACAGTAGCAAAATTACAGTTATGAAGTAGCAACGAAAACAATTTTATGATTGGGGGTCACCACAACATGAGGAACTGTATTTTTTTAAAAAATATATTTTATTCTTTTTTTACAGAGTAGAAGGGAGAGGGATAGAGAGTTAGAAACATCGATGAGAGAGAAACATCGATCAGCTGCCTCCTGCACACCCCTTACTGGGGATGTGCCCGCAACCAAGGTACATACCCTTGACCAGAATTGAACCTGGGACCTTTCAGTCCGCAGGCTGACGCTCTATCCACTGAGCCAAACCTGTTAGGGCATGAGGAACTATATTAAAGGGTCGCGGCATTAGGAAGGTTGAGAACCACTGCTAGGGTACAAGATTGAAATAGGGGTATAAGAGAAAGAATCAGGGGTGGGCATCTATATTAAATGGCTTTAAGCAAAAAATTATTCTGCTAAAGATGTTGCCAGTTGTTCACCTCCAGGATAAAGCTCAGACTCCTAAGCCTATCCTGGGAAGGTCTAGATACGTGCTCTTAGCCTCTACACTTTTGCAAATAGTTTCCTCTTTCTGGAAAGCCTTCCCTCACTCCCTTTCTCTGCTTTCTCCTATTCGTGGCCAGGATTTCCCTCAAGCAGCCCCTTCTCTGAAGACCTTTTCCCCCAATCCTCTATGCCCAATCTATCCCAATATTACACATAGTGAGGATGTTCACTTTCTCAAGTGAATACATATATCTTCCAAATCTTTTCCTGTTTATCCAAATGCCTTTATTCTCTGCAGATGGCTGCTTGCTCAACCTCCTCAATTCCTGTGCTCTAAGCCAACTACTGTGTGCCACTTTGGTTTTCCTTCTCTCCACCTCACAAGTTCTCTCATGCTACTTTTGCTTAGGAAGGGCGGGGGTATTCTAAAATAGATATTAATATTTGAAATTAAATGAAAATGAAAAGACTCAGATATTTTTCAAAAAGAAACAATAGGAGAAATCAGCGACTAATAAAAATTACCTATGGGGAAAAATAGCCTATGGGGAGGGAACAAAGGGGGAGAGACTGGGGTAGCAGCTGGACCACTGTAAATGTTTCATCTCTGGTTTTGTCTGTAGACCCATATAAATGTGTTAACTTTATACTAAAACTAGAGGCCTGGTGCACAAAATTTGTGCATGGGTAGCATCCCTAGGCCTGGATGGAGATCAGGACCAATCAGGGCCTTCCAGCTGCTGGCCAGAGCTTCTCTTCCCTGGCTGCCGGCCTGGGCCTTCCTTCATTCCACGCTGCCCCCAGTGGTCAGTGCACATCATAGTGAGCAATCGAACTCCCGGTCTCCCAGTTGAACTCCCGAGGGGACACTGCATATTAGCTATATGTATACACACACATACACACACACACACATACACACACACAAATATATCACTAATAAAAGGGTAATATGCTAATTAGGCCAGGGCCCTCTGCCACCTGGGAGAAGACCTAAGCCAGCAGGTCGTTATCTCCCGAGGTGTCCCGGACTGTGAGAGGGCACAGGCTGGGCTGAGGGAACTCCCAAGTGCACAAATTTTGTGCATCAGGCCTCTAATTATATATATAGTATACACACACACACACACACACACACTATTTGACCTGTTACAATACAAGGAATGAAAGAAATCATGGCTGATGTTTACTGAGCTTGTTGAGGTATATGTAGGGTATATATTGACTCATGGCTTACAATTTGCTTAAGATATCCTACCAGTGACTCTGAATCTTCACATAGCATTATAAGTTAACAAAAAATAATTTTTAGTTTAATTTATAATTTTTAGAGAGAAAGAGAAACATCAATTTATTGTTCCACTTATGTATGCATTCATTGGTTGATTCTTGTATGTGCCCTGACTAGGGATGGAAGCCACAACCTTGGCATATCAGGATGATGCTCTAACCAACTGAGCTACCTTTGTTTTTAAATGGGAAAAGATGAAAATGGAACGTTAACATCCAAAATGCTGCCATTCATTCCTGTACATTTTGCCAAAGGTGGACTACAAAGCCAGTCTGGGCTTCCTAGCAACCAAGAAAATGGTTCTGTCCAGAACTTTCTCACCTTAAAACCTTGATTGACAACCTTTTGCTCAGACAGCTCTATGGCAGTCTGTAGGCTTACAGGGCACACCTGGTCCAGCCCCTGCCCAGCTGTTCTGCTTTTTCCACCACCACCCAGCCAGGTGACCACTATAGTTGACCCTCAACAACAGGGGGTGGGGGGGTGGGGAGTGTTAGACCAACTCCCACGCAGTCAAATATCCACGCATAGACTAAATACGTCCTTCCGCTTCCTTCTCTCTCTTTCTCTGCCATCGAGGTGCGCGCGTTCGCCTCTGCCTCACCATGTCTTCCCACAAGACTTTCAGGATCAAGAGGTTCCTGGCCAAGAAACAAAAGCAGAATCGGCCCATTCCCCAATGGATTCGGATGAAAACTGGTAATAAAATCAGGTACAACTTTGTTGATTTTTTTCCTCCTGAAATAGGTTGATTCAGTAATAAATGTGAACTCTTTTAAAATGCAAAAAAAAAAAAAAATCCACGCATAAATTTTGAATCTCCAAAAGGCAGTTCCCCTATGGTATCCACCAGGGGATTGGTTCCAGGACCCCTGCCCCCATACCAAAATCCACAGATAAAAGTCTCATATAAAATGGCGTAGATTCTTACGCCGTAGAACAATGCATACAGTCCCAGACCAATGCATAAGGTTGACCCTCCACATCTGCACCATAGGATTCCAAACCGCGGGTGGAAAATACTGTTTTGGTTGAGTCCGCGGATGTGAAACCCGGGATCCAGAGGGTAAGTGAACTCACACAGTTTAAAACCGTATAGTCCCAGGGTCTACTGCACTTCAAACAATTCAGCAAAGGCGTTCCCAGCCCAAGCGCAGGCGCAAACCCTTGGCGCTCAGACTTGCCGTCCCTCCCCCAGCCCTAGGAGTGAGACCCACCCACCCCGCTCCCTCGGCCTCCCAGCGCTTCTGCTTAGGTGTTTATGATCGCTGCCATCCTCACCCACGAAACAGGTGCCCCCGGCACACTGAAGGACTCCAAGGAACCCACCTACAGAAGACGCGCAAAGCGAACTGCATTTCCCAGGGCCGAGCCCGCGTTCCCACAGCTCTCTGGGAGCACGCGAGGGGAGGGCCCGCCCGGAGAGGGTGGTGAATGCACCGCCTCAGTCCCCATAGCCCCACCCCGTCAGTGCCACTAAATACGTCCTTCCGCTTCCTTCTCTCTCTTTCTCCGCCATCGAGGTGCGCGCGTTCGCCTCTGCCTCACCATGGTAAGTCCATCCTTTACCATCCGCGTGAGGGAGGCTCCCCAAGTTCTCAGATCCCGCGAGTTGGCCTGCGCCGCGGGCTGCGCCGAGATGCGGGGGCCTTTTCGAGGCCTTTTGCAGGGAAGGCCGAGTTTGGGCCCTGCTCCAGTCGGCGGGCCTGGCGGGAAACTACTAAGCAATCTAGCCCTTGGGGAGGGGCGGGCTGCCTGGCGCTGCGAGGTCTGACTGGGGTGCCCTGTGCGCCAGGCCGCCGCCTCGAGTGGGTTCTGCTTCCCGTCGCCCGAGCGAACTGATTCTGGGGCAGAGAGAGAAGTTGTGGGGGGGGCGGGGGACGACGTAGCAATCGTGGCCCAACGGCTGGCTGCCTACGACACGGACCTGGCATCGAGAATAGAATGGGGCTGCTGGTTTTCGTAAAGTTTTTTAAGTTGGCGGCCAGGAGCCTACCACATTTTGAGCTTCCAGGAGTTTTTTTAGTCATTCCAGGGACTTGAGCTTTACCCTATGGAAGCTCCTGGAGCAAGGACGCTGTGAAACGAACCTCTTTGCCATTTGGGCATTCTTCGTAAGATGCCCATTGCGGACAGTCACTGTTTGGGTTTTTCCTGTGACGGTTCCCTGAGAAGTTTAAATTGAGCATAGGCTTCTGGGTATGGAGAAGATCCGTATTTGGTGTTTTATAGTTTTAACGGTTGACGGAAAATTTAATTTACAACTACTACCGAGAACTGGGAGATGGGTGTAGTCTTTGCCTTTTTTAAAATGGCCCCTAATATGCAAAGGTGTGTTGGGCCACAAGCGCCAGACTTTAGAGGAGTGTTCATGCTATTCCTCCAGGGTGTCCTGCAAACGGGGCGGGTCCGGGACATCGGTTGGGGTTAGGTGACCCGAGTACTTCATGAAAGCCAAAAGCTGCAAAGGGAAGTGGGGATAATCATCCTTGGAAAAGTTGCATTTTTAAGTAGAGTTAGAATTAATATCAAAATGATCAGCGGGTTAGAGTAGATCTACTGAATGGGGAACGTTGTGTAAATCCTCATTACTTTTGTAATGAGCCTTGAATGAGGGGATACTCCTGTTTTACAAAGAAGGGTACTGAGACTTACAGACTTGCAAGTTACACATTATTTAGTTTACTAAAAGCTGTGTTCTTTCCTGAAAACCTAGTTCCCCAGCTCTCACCATCCCTGATGTGGTCCTCCTCCAGAGGACTTGGGGTACCCCAGACTCAACAGAAAGGATCAGGGTTTGAATCCCATCTCTGCACATTAATATGCTTCCTTTGGGGGCAGGTTACATACCTCCTGACTTTTTAACAATGGGAATTAAGGTCCCTGCCTGCAGAGAAGTTGCGAGAAACGAAACAAAGGACATGATGGTTTTGGAGTTTAGGGGGTTGCTTTTGGTAAATATTGAGCATTTAGATGTTTGTTGGATTGAGGGAGTTCTTGACTTTGAATATTTTGAGCAAGTTCTGATATTTCTAAGTTGATTGCATATCCTTCCCAGTCTTCCCACAAGACTTTCAGGATCAAGAGGTTCCTGGCCAAGAAACAAAAGCAGAATCGGCCCATTCCCCAATGGATTCGGATGAAAACTGGTAATAAAATCAGGTAAGGACACTACCCTCCTATGTTTTTGTTTTTGTTTTTAAATTTAAGATTGCTTTGGGGTCATAAATAATTAAAACTTGTATGCAATCCAATTTATCCTGTGCCACCACTCTGAAATTTTTTAATGTACTTCCTCTGGATTTCTGGACATGACCCAGCCCACAGCTGGGCTTAGTAGACACTCCTCCAATATTTGTTAATTTCCTAGTTGTCTTCATACTGGGCCAGAACATAATATGGGAGGCGATGTCATTGCACAGCCCAGGAGGGAAGACCATGATGCTTCCCTAATCCATCTTTGAAGTGTTTATCTTTTTTAAAGATTGGAATATTGCCCTCCACTGCAGAAGTAGTTGAATTGATGGCTTTGGAAGAATAGACATTATTAGAATTATTACAAAGTACTTCCAATCCCAGATCATCTAGGCTAATTCCTGGCAAAACAGGCCTTAAAACTCCTGCATGCCTTTCAACCCCACTGCTTTTTGGAGACCCAGTGGACCTTGAGATAGGTGTTTTTTTTTTTATTTGTTTGTTGTGTTTTTTTTATTTGTTTTGTTTTTGGAGATAGGTCTGGAAGGGGAAGAAAAATCAATGAGATTTACCCAAAGGCTCACTGCCAGTGACAGCGCGGTGTGTTTAACAGCACCATGTGAAAATCGCCACCCTCTATAGCCTTACATGCCACCACTTTGCTGCTTTTGGTATATTTGGTAATAAACGGTAGTCTTTATTATTTATGCATATTAATGTGTATGGGGGATATCTCATTGTTACAGGTGCAACTAGAATTTAAAGCACATGGCGTTGCCATCATACAGTACTGAGAAAAGAGCATTGAGGCACTTGGTGAAGTGGTTTGTTTGGCAGCTCAGCCCTTCTACAAGTTTGATGGATTTCTGTTGAGAACATCAGGCATTCATAGTAAAGCACCCCTCCCCCCTTTTTTTAACATAGCTACATGAACATCAGTTTCTCTAATGGTGGTGGGACCTGCTTTGGGTTGTAAGGATTGAAAGAAATGTATGTGAAGCTTGGTGCCTGCGGTTATCAATATTAGCGTCTTGCTCTGTGAACTCCTAGAGCTGGGGAAGTATTTTATATTTATCATTGCACCCTTTTGGTCCAGAGAATTGGCACAGTAGAATTATTTTTCTGTGGACTCAGCTGTCTTCAGACTTAGTGTATTGAAAGCAGGTTGCAATTACAGTGCTTCATTTTGTGGACGTACTGCCATTATCCTACTGAAAGAAAATGTTGTGTTGGTCATTTTGATTTTGCCTTTATGAGGGTAAAATCATGACAGGCTTACATGGACAGTTCAGAGATGGCTTTAGCTCTGCAAATCACTTTTCTTGCTATTAAAGTGAGAGAGAGTGTTGATATATTGTAAAAATTATGCAGGAACTGTGTGTGTGTGTGTGTGTGTGTGTGACCCATTATGTAGGAATGACTGTTTTTGATGTATTTCAAAATATACATGTCTCTGTCTAAGTCTGCCTCAGGTCTATTGAATCAAAGTTGGGTGAGCGTACACTTGGGGGAGGGGAGAGCTTCCCCACCGCTTCAGTACCACATAAGAACCAGTGTCTTCATACCCTGGAATCATTTTGAGAGGTAAAAATTTGATTTGACTAGTTCTTAAACATCTAGCAAATCATTTTTTACTCTCCAAAAAGAGCTCCAAACTTGTGAACGGAAAGAAAAGCCCGGACCCTTTACCTTTCAAGGATATTGTGGTACATGAAAAGGCAAAGTTTGTGGTGAATGAGAGCAGCTAAATTGAGGTCAGACTGTTTTTGTAACTTGGAATTTCCTTCTGTGTAGGTACAACTCAAAGAGGAGACATTGGAGAAGAACCAAACTGGGCCTATGAGAAGTCACACGAGAGATGACTCACATATTTATGCTGTATCCAGGTTGCCTACACCCGTAAATGATTGAAAAGATGCTACTGTCTGGACAGTTGGGGCATTTTAATTGGAAGATTAATGAACTTGTGATTTTGCTCTGTTGATTTTTCCCTCCTGAAATAGAAGGCTGATTCAGTAATAAATGTGAGCTCTTTTAAACTGCTGTTGTATTCTGGTTTGTATTGAATGACACAAGTGTTCTCTGGCTACTAAGTACTTCAGTATGGCTAATGTGAGTAAGAAATGGATTTTTAAATTTTTGTTTTATTTTATTGTTATTAATCCTCACCCAGGAATATGTTTTTATTGATTTTAAGGAGAAACATCAATCAGTTGCTTCCTGTACACACCCTGATGGGGAATTGAACCCACAACCTTTTGGTGCATGGGACGACACTCCAACCGAGAGCCTGTACACAGCTAAATTTTTATTGTAATTAAATAGCTCTGTGTGGCTAGTGGCTTTTATACTTCCTGTTATGAGGAGAGCATATTTTTTTATCCTCGTGCCTGAGGGTAGCACATTCTTTTTAAAATGAACAGCATCTTAATCTGCTCTTCCTCAATACAAGTAGGAATCATCTGAACCAGAGGTTGACAAACTGGTCTGCTGCCTGATTTTGTATGGCCTATGAACTAGATTTCTGCAATTTTAAATGGTTGAAAAAATATATTTTGACACTAAAGAAATAAAATTTATTGGATATTAATGTGCTGTGCACTATTCTAAGCACTTGGGATTAATCAGTTGGATTTGTCTAATATGCAAATGGCTAATAATAGGCCATTATGCGGGCCATGTCAAATGTCTGGAGAAGGTGGGAAGTAGCAAGTGTCCTTATAGCTTTGGAATTAGGGTGGAACTGCAGGAGGGAAAGGGGAGTTCTTCGGGTCTGAATCTCAGCTGGAAGAAGGGCTCATTCACTTCCCTCAGGTTCTCTTAATTTGAGCTTGACTTTTAAACAGTATATAATGATGTATCAGCAGTTTTGAGGCTACATGACATCACAACAGACTGCAAGATTAAATAAGAGAATTTAGTTGTCTAGTGTTAGGGCAAATATTAAAGAGATCTGCAAAAATGTAAAATAGCACTAATATTAAAAACCAATGATTTTTTAAAAAAATAATGTATTATTTTTTAGTAGGACAAAATTTTGAAGCAATTCTTTACTCAAATTTATTCTATTAAAGAGTTATTTTTTTATTTTTCAGTTACAGTTGATATACAATATATTAGTTTCAGGTGTACAACATAGTGATTACATATTTATGTAATTTACCAAATGATCACCTTAATCTAGTCCCCTCTGACACTACATAGTTATTAGAACATCCCTTATGCTGCACTTTACAATCCCATGACTTTTCTAAACAACTTTTTTTAAAGGTTTATTTTATTAGGGAAACATTGATTTGTTCCACTTAATTTATGCATTCATTGGTTGATTTTTGTATGTGCCCTCGCTAGGGAACAAACCCACAACCTTGGTGTATAAGGACAATTCTCTAACCAACTGACCTGCCTGCCCAGGGTCCCCCATGAATATTTTGTCTTTTTGGTATTAACATTTTACAGAGAGGATGGGAGAGGGATAGAGAGTTAGAAACATCAATGAGTGAGAATCGATCAGCTGTCTCCTGCACACCCCCAATCAATCCCGCAACCAAGGTACATGCCCTTGACCAGAATCAAACCCGAGACCCTTCAGTCCAAGGGCCGATGCTTTATCCACTGAGTAAACTGGTTAGGGCCTCCCCATGACTATTTTGTAACTACCAATTTATACTTCACCCAACCTCCCATCCCATCTGGCAACCATTAAAATGTTTTCCGAGTGTATGTTTTGGTCATTAGTTTTTTAGATTTGACACTTAAAATCATGCCATTTGTCTTTCTCTGGCTTATTCCACTCAGCACAATACACTCTAGGTCCATCCATGTTGCAGATGGCAAGATTGCATTTTTTATGGCTGAGTCATATTCCACTGTATGTAGGCACCACTTTATCCATTTGTCTATTTTTTTTTTAAATATATTTTATTGATTTTTTACAGAGAGGAAGGGAGAGGAATAGAGAGAGTTAGAAACATCGATGAGAGAGAAACATCGATCAGCTGCCTCCTGCACATCCACCACCGGGGATGTGCCCGCCACCCAGGTACATGCCCTTGACCGGAATCGAACCCGGGACCTCTCAGTCCACAGGCCGACGCTCTATCCACTGAGCCAAACCGGCTTCGGCTATCCATTTGTCTATTGATGAGCACTTAGGTTGCTTCCATGTCTTGGCTATTATAAAGGCAACAATGAACATTTATGGTTGTATATATCTTTTCAAATTACTGTCTTGGGTTACTTCAGGTAAATACCCAGAAGTGGAATTCTTTGTGTCTTATTACAGCCTTAATTAAAGTCCATTTTGTCTGGTATAAGTATTGCTATCCCAACTTTTTTCTTCCATTTTCATGAGATAATCTTTTCATTCTACTTTCACTGTCTTTGGATCTGAAGTGAGTGTCTTGTAGACAGTATGTTTAAGGATCTTGTTTTCTTATCCATTTAGCCACCCTATGTCTTTTGATTGGAGCATTTAATCCATTTGTATTTAAAGTAATTGTTGGTGTGTATTTATTGCCAATTGATTTATATATTATATAATAGGTTTTTTTTAATCAATTGATTTTTGAGAGAGGAAGTGACAGATTCTGGTATGTGCCCTGATTGGAGGTGTTGAACCCACAACCTTGGTGTTATTGGGATGATGCTCTAACCCAGTGGTCGGCAAACTCATTAGTCAACAGAGCCAAATATCAACAGTACAATGATTGAAATTTCTTTTGAGAGCCAAGTTTTTTAAACTTAAACTATATAGGTAGGTACATTGTTATTAACTTAATTAGGGCACTCCTAAGCTGGCCTTTGCTAAAAACGCCCTCGATCTGATTGAGCTACGTTTGCTGAGGTCAAAAACCGACTTCTGCCACGAAGTTTCATGGGCCACCAAGTTTCAGTCGCACTGTACGTGCGCGCCCACACTCAAGGAGCCAAAGAGCGCGTGTGGCTTGCAAGTCGCGGTTTGCCGACCACTGCTCTAACCAATTGGGATGCTTGGCCAGGGCCTTGACTTGTATTTTGGTCTTTATTTTCTTAAAGAAGACCCTTTAACCTTTTTAAATTGATTTTTAGAGGGGACGGGAGTGGGAACATTGGTAGGCTGTCTCCTGCATACTCCCAACCCAGGCATGTCCCCTATCAGAAATTGAATCTGCAACCTTGTGAACGGGATGACGGCCAACCAACTGAACCACACTGGCCAGGACTTTAACATTTCTTATAATACTGGTTTAGTGGTGATGAGCTCTAGCTTTTTCTTGCCTGGGAAATTAAGATTCTCTTTGTCTTTAATCTTTGCAAATTGTGACATGTGTTGGTATAAGGTTATTTGGGTTCATCTTGTTTGGAACTCTCTACTTTCTGGACTTGTATGTCTATTTCTTTCACCAGGTTAGGGAAGTTTTCCATCAGTTAGGTCCTGTTAGCCAGGTTGATGGAGACTCAGATGTGGTGCCAGCCTGTTGGTTGTGTGGGGGAGGGTCCAGCAAAGGAACAGTGGCCTCTGCTACAGCTCAAAGAAAGTGAGTCCCTAGTAAGTCAGTGTGTATGGGCCATTTAAGAGGAATGCCTGTGACTCCAGCAGCCCTCTGTCTCACTCAGCCAAAATCCCCGCTGGTGTTCACAACCAGAAGTTATGGAGACTTCTTTTTCCAGCATTGGAACTTTGGGCTGGGCTCCTGGCGTGTGGCTGGGGACCCCTTGCTCCTCAGGGGACCTCTAAAGCGGATATATTCCTGACTAATTGCCACACATGGGTATGGGACCAGCCCTATCTGTACTCCTCCTACCAGAACACTGGCTTTCTCTACAAACCTTGAATAGGTAAGATTAGATTTGAAAGAGAAAGGAACTTGGGTACCAGTGTTGGTTGGCTGTATATAAGGGGTTTCTTTTGAGCCTGGGAATTGGACACAGGTTCTGGTTCCAGTGGCCTCTCACTAGGTTGTACAATTGCTAATACTAGTTTCCTCATGTGGAGAACTAGGTCTGTGCTTCCTGAAGGGAGAAGTGGATTTATATTTACCCACAAGAAGAGCAGTATAAGATGTCAGCTTTTGTAAGCTAATGCAGTCACCCCTGTGGTGATTCCATGATGGCTTACTGAGAAGCAGGCAGCACCAGAGTGGTCAAGAGTTGGCAGATTCAAATCTTCACTATTCACCAGTTGTAAGCCTCAGGGTCACCTGCAGCATGAGGCTAGTGGGACCTCCCTCAGAGGCCTATGACCATGAAATGTAATAATGCACTAAAGCACTTGATTCAGTGTCTGGCTAGGAAAAGAAGAGGAATGGGGAGTGAGCAGGATGAAGGTTGATGTGGATCCCTCCTCTGCAGACATGTGCTATATGCTGGATAAAGCAGAAGTAAGACACAGCGACCAAGGATAGTGGGGAGGGGCAGTTTGTCATGGGAGAAATTAGGCGGAAATGGTGCCCACTGACAGGCTGCTTGTCCAAGGCTGTTGATGGGGACTGGCAGGAGCAGCAAGTAGGACCGGATGCGGCTCTCAGCCTGACCCTAAGTGAAACTTCCCTTGATCAATTTGAATAATTGATTCCAGAAGGGCTGTTAATTCAGATGTTTCATAGAGTCAGTTGCATTTAATAGTAGCAGTGAGGGGCCCTGGCCGGTGTAGTTAAGTAGTTAGAGCATCGGCCTGCACATCATAAGGTCTTGGGTTTGGTTCTTGGTCAAGGGTGTGTACCTGGGTTGCAGGTTCAATCCCCAGCCCTAGTTGGGAGGGTGCAACCAATCGATGTCTCTTCACGTCGATGTTTCTCTCTCCCTCCTTATACACTCCTTAAAAAGCAATGGGAAAAATATCCATTATCAATAAAAAAGTAGTAGTGAAGGAAGTGAGAAAAACATCAGCAACATAGGCCTGGCCAGAGTCATTTTCTAGAAGCAAATAAAAAGGGAAAGTTAAGTTAACATTCTTCAATGAAAAACCTCACTGCTATCAATACTGGAATTATAAGCTATTTTTTAAAGTTTTTTTTAAAATTATAACATGCATACAGAAAGTGCACTTTTAAGTGTATAGC